TCTCACTTGCTTTGCTTAGTTTAGGTCATAGGCTTTTAGTCTTTTAGCTTTGTAAGTGTTCACCTTGGCACTGCTACTTTCCCTTTAGACCCTGAGTTTTTTAATGGAATTTTACTACCTTTTGCTAGTGAGGAAGGAACAAAGAACCCTTTCAATAGGAGGAATCCATCTAAGCCCTTTTTGGGGCTATACCAAATATATGAACCTCCTCAGGAAATTCAAGAATAAACAGCCCTTTCTAAGACCCTCTTGGAAGGGAGCACTGAAAACACACTGAAGTGGCCTCTGAGAGCTCTTTGGAAGGGAAACTCCAGTTGGGGAGTTCTTTTTCTGAAAGACTGTTTGTGCAAACTGAACCATCAGGACCAGAACCTCAAGGAATTCCTCCAAAGCAGAACAAACTTTCTGCCTTTCTGGAGCTCCAAAATCATGTGAAGTGTTCCCAAAGATATACAGTCCCTCACACTTCAAAACTTCCTGAGGTCTTTACCTTAAGGCAAAGTCTGAGACCTGTTGGAAATTGGTGCTTTTACAGCATGAAACGTGAATTGCTATTTATTGTGTCACAGTGATGAAAGCACATGTTATTTTTTACAAGTGCTTATGTGTATTTAGAGATTTGCCAGGAAACTGAGACTATTGCTGGCAATTTCCACCTCTTGCCAATGATAGGTAAAACATCTTCCTAGGCAACAGGAAAAGGTGCTGAATTTCCTTTTAACCATAGTTGAGGAAATTAAGCACATTTCCTTCTTGCAATTTATACAAGCAGGTTAGTCATTAAGTATTACTGATTGCAGCCACAGTATGCTCAGAGATAGAAGAGATTTTTCTTCAAACCGTTCTTCAAATCCATGTGATTTAAAAAACGTCTTTGAAGCTCTTTTATCTTTAGACTTGCTGCTGAAGTCATGGGTGATAATTTGCAAAAGCTCCACTCGTTTTAAACTTTTGTATATATTTATAGCCATTACATAAAAGAAGAGTTCTGGAGAGCTAGAAAGCTGTTCAGTATGGATGAAGCATGAATAAAGAATGCTAATGACAGCAAAAAAATTGCTGTAAAATTCACAGGGGAGATGTGTGAAGTTGTGAGGAACTGACCCCTTCATTGCTATTCCTATTTCTTTACTATAAAGACATTCTCTTGTCTACAGGAATTTTATTAGATGAAGAACAGATCCCTCTAAAAGGCTTTGTAATTTCCCTCTGAGTAGAGTCTTTAAGAAAATATATTTCTTAGTATTAAAATATTAATTAAAAAAAACCTAAAAATTATATTTGACTAAAAGGTATTGATTCAGAGTAATAAATTAGTCTCTTCTGTGCACTTTTGTTATGAGATTTATACCTTCTCAAGATATCTTGAAAAACATCCAGTTATCCACAGAGTGGTCAGATTCAAGTGGACAGTCTGTCTAAGAGGGAAAGAAACAAACTGCAAGAAATTTCCTTATTTAAAACATAATCAGGGAAGAATTGAAAAAAACTCTGACACTTCTTGTAGTAGTTAATCATGTTCATTGTTTAGTATTCATAGATCCAGTTCAGTCCAGTGTTTTATATTTATTGTATGTTGCCTAAATGGCTGTGGGGAAAAAAAGACTCCAAACCAAATTAGGTAGGAGATAAGATAAGGATACAAAGATTTTAATGAGCCCCCAGGCTGTCTGGAATACCCCAGCGCACGCTCCCGAAATCGAGATGTTCACAGTTTTTATAATGATTTTCACCCAATCCTGTCCAGCTACCACCCAGGTTCTGCCCCCACCACGCCTCTTGGAAATTGGGTCTGGGAGCGTTTTGGGACCCCCTCTTCTTCATCTTCCTCAGAGCACATAATGTCCTTGGAGGCCTTCCAGAATTCTAGGCCTGAAGGTTATTGGGTCTATGGCTATATCTTGTTCCGTAGGGTTAGGATGTTCTTCTACTATACTACCTTGAAAAAAAGACTAAACAGGCTGTGGAATTTAGGGAATGGGTAACAGGGGTTTGAGCTGGTGTGTTAGGGTAAAGGGATAATATGTTGCTACTCTAAAATCTACATTTACTACATAACTACTTCTAAGATCTACAAAAATTAAAAAAATCAAAACATCAAAACTCTAAGGTATGAGTAGCAAAGCCCTTCATTCCTTGGCTGGAGGTTTCGCACATTTTAAGGAGTCGGGAATCCAGAATTCCATGAGGTTGCAGGAGAGTTTCATGTCCCACTTTAGTGCATTACCTACCTGCACTTTGGGTTTTTACGACTGACCATTCTCTATGTGCAATGAAAAGTTCAGATAAGGAGTTTACTCAGCTTACTGGCAAAGAAAGCTTCTGGGAGAGAAGGGGACTGTGGCTTGTCCCAGATGTGACCAGCTGAGCATGTCAGGATTGTGCTCTCTGCCCTCCTAAAGCACTGCCTCTGCTTTCACTCTGCAAGGGCTCTGAGCGCTCTGACTGTAAGCTCTGCACAACTGGAACTTGCATATCTTCAGAGCCCATGTGTTTCTTGTGTCCTCTTTAAAAAGTCACTAATTAAAGGACTTTTATTCATCTTGATATATGGAAGCTATTAGTGTACACCTCTAGTCCAGTTTTGCTGCGTGTTAATCACAGTTTCATGGATTTTCGGAGATTTTTGCTCAGAAATAACAGAATATGGTTTTGAAACTGTTTAATACAACCCACTTCTTCCATCAGCATCTGTACTGATAGCTAATTAATTGATGGTAATTAACTAGTCTTTGTAAATAGAACAAAGACCAACAAGGTCTGGGAAGAAGGAGTGACCATTGGATTTGATTAATTGTAGTAGTAAGTAGTTGTTATTTACAAACTATATTACAGATTTGGTCATCTCAGAACGTTTTTTGAAAACATACAACTTCAATATACAGTCAAATTAGATTTCATCGATTACTGAATCAATACTAAAATTATAGGTGAGTCTGCTTTTTAGATTTTCAGTTCCTTGAAATTTACTTGGAAATGCAGCTTACTACAGATTGCGAATTTTTGGCTCAACCTGTTATCAAGATGGCATTCAAACCTAACTGAAGATCCCACAAAAGATTTGGTGTTCACAGCTTAGACTTGGATCTAGGCCACCTCCAGTTAAAATGAGCAAAGGCTGGGCAGAGTAGGCAATGCATGTGGTATGTGAATTGCCTTGTCCCAGGCTAAGTTATGACCATCTCTACATCTTCCATGTCTTTTATGAAACTAATTTAAGCAGTTTACAGTGAGTAACTCTGAAACTATTTATAGCTGGATGTCAGTGCTGTACTGAGAAGTGACTTGGACTGAAAGCAGGCATTGTGTGAACACAGACTGATGATACTTCACATTTAATCTTTATTAGGAGATGTAGCTGATCATTTATAATTAAATGTTTGACAAACTATTCATTTTGTTAAATCGTTAAACTGGATTGCCCTCTTAATAAGACATTTAGAAAGACAGGACACAAATGCTGTTTCCGGATTATTTATTCCTGTGCCAGATCAATTTCACAATTCTTTTAAAATATTTATTATCATCTCAGTTTTGTCCTGATGTTGATAATGGTTATGTTTATTTACTCTTATGGTTTTCCAAGTTCTGGACACAGAGACATGCTGAAGTCTTTTGCAGCTTCTTTCCTGACTGTACAGCAGTTTCATGGGATAGCTCATTTTCCATAGAGCTCTGAAAACCAAGGCTCTATCTCTTCTCCCAACATATGCTGAATGCAATTAGGCACCAGTTCAGAAAAAGCTTTGTAAACATTCTGAATTCATGCCACATTTTCTGGTCTCAGGAGCTGCCAAATGCCTAAATGCTGTATTCAGGCCAGATGTCTAAATATATAAAATGAATGACTGAACAAAGTGCCTCCTTAGTAGAGCATATGCCTATAGGATGGACAGACCGGAGGGGTCTGAGATCAGCTCCAGAACAGGATGTTCTGCCAGCCCACATCCCTGGCCACTAGGAAGGAGACCAGAATATACTCTCCTGGATGAGCTGTATGAGGAAGGAGCACCCTTGCTCTCATTTTTGCTCTCTCAGGATGAGACACCAAGCCTCAGGAATCTCTGCAGGCAGTATCATAAGGCAAACTCTGTCACTTCTCAGTGAGTATACCTGTCTCTGGGACACTGAGGTACTTGTTCAGCTGGATCAAACAGTTGGAGTACATTTGGGGTTTCACCTGAGCAGCATCCACTCAACCATTATGAATGGGCTGCCTTGATCTTGTTAGGAAGTTTACATAACACAAGATACACGGAAAAAGAGCTTCCATGTAAAATAATACATGTACTTCACTGACTCTTAACTCTGCCAAAGTGTTTTTCTCTTTTGTTGAAAGCAGGAAGAGGAAATCAGAATTTAATGCAATACTTATGATTAATGTTAGGGACATAAACTCAGTTGTGGGAGAGGGCAAAACTGAAACACAGTCGAGCAGGTACAGTAACCTGCATTGTAAATGTATTGTAAGAGTAGTGACTGATGAAATTGTTCACACAACACTCATTAGGCAGTCTTGGTCTTTGTCACTCCTTTCTGAACTATGTTTAAAGCAAAGCATAAGACACATTTATATTCTTCATCTTCCTAGAACCTGAAACTTTAGTGGTCTTAAAACAAAAAAAGCCTGAGAGAAACGTCTGTAGGGCATTTCTTGAACCAGTTGATTTTGTTACTGTTTTGAACGTCCTATGAATAATCTTTTTTATAATCTTGAGAAGAACTTAATTGATCCAGTAAGATTGTGATGAGAGGCTACTGATAATGCAGAAGTTCTGCCCTAAGACTAAGTAGTGGTAGAAACTCGTAGTAGGGCAAGGTAATAACTCTCTCCTCTCACAAGTGTCTAAAAAACCCCTCTCAAACAAGTCTTGACAACTTATTCTCCTTTGCAGCAACGATCAGCATAGAAATAAAACAATTTCAGAGTATTTGCTAGATGCCCACAGTGGTGTAGGGAGCTCTCAGTTAGCAATATATCTTTTTTTTTTTCCTCCTAGGTATGGCAGTGTGGAGGAAGTGTTGAGGTTCTGCCGTGCTCCAGGATTGCCCACATTGAAAGAGCACACAAACCATACACAGAAGATCTAACTGCTCACGTCCGGAGGAACGCGCTCAGGGTGGCCGAAGTCTGGATGGACGAATTCAAGAGCCATGTCTACATGGCCTGGAACATACCCCAGGAGGTGAGTCACAAAGACCAGGGTTTGCAAGCTTTGGCTTTAGATCCTTTTGGATTTGGCTCCTATGCCGAATTTTGGTTTTCCTGGTAGGATTCTATTTTTATACGTGTATGTATGTATTTATGTGTCACGTAAGGTATACCTATACATACACACTTACATATAAACATATATATATATATATATACAGTTGTGTCTTATTCTAGAATAATTTCTTTGTCTTCTTAAAGTCCCTAAAAAATGAATTTCTTGTCAAGTTCAGCATCCTCGCTGATGACTCTTCGTGGACATATTAATGTAGTAGCTGGAGAAACGTGGGGGGAAAAAACCATCAAACCTACATTACACATCTTATTTTGAATTTGAATCTCCTATTTACCATCACTGAGAGCTATAATTCCACCAGATTTGGGAGGAGAGTTCTGCCAAGGGAAAAGGGATGCTGACATCTATTGATGCAAATGCGGGGTGTATGACAGTACAGCAAAAGCAAATAGTCTAGACTTAATAAATTAAAGGGCAATTTCATCTTTCTTTAATAAAATTTCTGTAAAATCTCTCTGAGTGATTTCACAACTCTTCTGAGAAACTGGTTTGCTGCAATTTCTGTTTCAAGAAATAAAATGTAAAGCTACTTTTCCTGTAGTTTTATTAAGTAAGAGAGGTTAGAATCAAAAAAACAGCTAGATATATGAATGCTAATGTTGGTTCAGCTGCTTTCAATAGCATCTTTCATCTCTTGTGATTAAAACTAGATAATTTTGGCAAAGTGGGGAAGTCACTGTCCTATTTTCAGGTTGCAGCCTTAGACACATAATTTACCACAAAATAGCAGGGAAAAAAAGGTCCTCTACAATTGAGTATAAGTAAAGGACTTTGCTAAAAGTTAGTCCCATGTACACGGAATGCAAGTTACCCTTGAAGTGTCCCTGTTTTGAGTAGTCACACAGCAGTCCATACAAGAATAAGGCATTTCTGGACTGGATAGGGTTACTGATTTTTTGTCAAAACAATTTCAAATTAAATTTATTTGGGATTAACCTGATAGACTTCAAGTTCAGATTCTACTTTTTATTGTTAGTTATTTCCTTGAAGATTGGTTGATCTTCATTGATTAAGTTTCCAATTTTTGACTTGCAAAAACAGCACAAACTTTAGAAATTCCTTCTGATAACCAGGATATACTGTATTATACACATAGTTGCATAATATTCATCCAGACATGATTGTGGTGGTGCTTACGCTTGTGCAAATTTGAGATTTGAATGCAATTTGAAATCAAATTCATAAAGAGGACAAAGATAAATTGTTGTTATTGTTATTACATTCCCATTTAACAAGTAATAATAACAGTCTTAACTGTGTTGATAGAGCAGAAAAAAAGTAAGCCTGCTATAATACATTTTAAAATTAATTTATTAAACACAGTGAAAGTTATTAACCAAAGGAAAAGTAAATGCAGTGTGTAAACTGATTTCTTCACATCTCAAAATGCATCAAGATGTTTTCATAGTAGATCTTGTACCACCAACAATGATTTTGTTTATATTTTTGAAGAGGAATAACAATGTTTTTTACTACTTGAATCTCCAGTCATTTCCCCCCCACAAATGTACTAATCATTGCACTGAACTTATAATTTCTCTTCATTTTCACAAAGGCCACTGCTGTCAAATCATAGAGGAGAACTTGAAACTGGAAATGGCAAATTCTAAATCAGCTTTTAATAGTGGTAGTCTCTTCTTTAATATACTGAGATGCCTCTGTTACAGAGGAAGAAATCTGTTATTATGTGCATGTACAGAACCTGCACATAGTAGGAACCTTCCTTGGTTTTTCTCACTGTTGTAGAAAACCAAATAAACACAAATATGCCCACATATTTATTAAAAGTGCCCTGGGAACAGCTTAGTTTTCACAGTTCTAACAGGCCAAAAAAGGCTGAATCTGCTCACTGTCTAGTAATTGCTACAGGATGTTCCAAGACAGTGTGGAACCTTGGTGACCATCAGAAAGTGTTCCTGTCAGGAAGACTGTGCCTTACAGCTGGGTACATTCCAGTGTTCACCCAGCTTTCATGTTTTACTATGTGGAAAAGAGGGAAGTACTTGGAAGAGTCCTTCTGCTCCACTCTCATGAGACCTCACTATGAGTGCTGCATCCAGCGCTGGGGTCCTCAGCACAGGAAGGACATGAACCTGTTGGAATGAATCCAGAGGAGGCCACCAAGATGATTAAAGGGATGGAGCACCTCTCCTATGAGGAAAGGCTGAGGGAACTGGATTGTTCAGCCTGAAAAAGAGAAGGCTTTGGGGTGACCTAATTGTGGCCTTCCAGTAGCTGAAGGGAGCTTACAAGGAAGATGGAGAAGGACTTTTTGCAAGGGCAAAATGCAGTGACAGGACAAGGGGTGATGAATATAACCTGAAAGAGAATATGTTTAGATTAGATGTTAGGAAGAAATTCTTTGCTGTGAGGGTGGTGAGGCATTGGAGTAGGCTTCCCAGAGAAGTTGTAGGTGCCCCATCCCAGGAAGTGTTTAAGGCCAGGTTGGATGGAGCTCTGAGCAACCTCATCTAGTGGAAGGTGTCCCTGCCCACGATGTGGAGTTTGGAACTTGGTGATCTTTGAGGTCCCTTCCAACTTAAGCCATTCTGTGATTCTATGAAGAGTGCTGGGGTCTTTTTTGGTTCTGACTGCTTGACGTGCTCAAGTATCCCAAATCAGTTGTGTAATTCTGAGGGTGCTTAATAGCATTTTTGTGTTCATTGTGCAAGAATCAGGGGAAAAGTTCTGAAGACCAGGGACTTCCTTTTGCTTTCTCATGCTAAACCTTGTGAGGACTGAGCTGAATCTGGAACAGTAGGAAGCAAGTACATGTGTAAGGAAAGCAGGAGAGTACAGTACAAAATTACACTCCCAAGCACTGTAACTGAATTAGTCAACATAAAGAAAATCATATACATCATTAGTGGGAGTCCTCTTTTAGACATCTAAAGGTTAGGAGCAACTCAGGCTCTGGTTGGTACAGAAACATCAGGAGAAAGGGGGAGAATTCAGTGTAAAGAAGCAGACTAAAAACTAACTTAAAGCTTGTGGGACACTTGTAATACAAATTACCAGTAGTCATGGGGCAAAGAGAGAGTGGATGAGAAAGGCTAGGGATGGTGAAATACCCAAAAGGGGCAATTTTCAAGCCAAACCTAGCTTCAGCTAAGGGAAAAGCATGTCAAAACCTAATTTTGAGAGACATGTAAAGAGGACAGAGAGATAGCATTGCCAAATACTGTTACACAAGTGGGTAACTACAGGAGTAATTCTCTATCTGGAAGCTGATGAAACAGTGCACTGGTAATGGACTGTGTAGGTAATAGAAATGTATTAAGTTATAATAGTCAGGACTTTCCATGAACTATGTTATTCCAAAATGTTAACCACAGGATCTGATTTTTCCATGGAAGAATTCACAGATCTCTGGGAAGTCAGATGTTTCCAAAGGTTTTAGTCTTTGAGAGCTAATAATAGTAGTACTAAAAAGGAGTCAGACTCATTTGGCAGTGTGTTGTGACTGCCCTCCCAGGATCTCTGTGGGCTTCTCTCTGAAGTACCCAGAGCTTCAAATAGGACTCTCAGATGCCATGGTGATTTCTGCATCACGATCACTTAGATAAATAGATTCAGAAAAGCACTTAAAACCCAGAGGAAAGATTCATCAAGTCCCAGAAGCAAGAATTGCGCTTTCTATGTGTTCTGCCTGTGCTTCTGGTTTTATTTGTTGTTTTTCTTTCTTCCGTCATATTCTCAGCTTTGGGAACACACTGACTTAGTGCTGATAATAAAGCCAGTGTGCTACATGAGAGCTATTTTTCTTCTCCAGCTGCATGGGAGGATGTGATTACTGAGGCCCTTGATGCTCTTTCTTACCTTACACAGTAAACTGTGAGGAAAAAAGCTTTGGTGCCTGCAGAGTTGCAGGAGAAAGGAGTTGAGGTGCACTGGAACAATTTAGAACCTGATCCCAGGAAGTCTTGTTAGCGATGGAAGTCAAATGTCTGTGTGCTGGCATCCTCCTTTTCCTTCACACAAGTGGCAGATACAACGGCAAGTGCACGAGCAGGATTTGTTCATGAGATCAGCTGGTTTTCTTACAGAACCCTACAGCCTTTTCCTCTGTCTAGTCGTTTGCCACAAAAGTCAGGAAAAAATGGCCACTTGAGGAGTAGTTTCACAGAAAGTTTTATGAGTTATGTAGGGCTTGAGTGGAGGGGAGTCACTATTTTTAAGGTTAAGTTATGCCTGTATATGCCAAAATCTCACTTTACTACTTATTAGTATACTTTGCTCACGTGGAAGTAAGTTTTACTTCAGTTAGAAAATGCTTCCATAATAAAATATACTTGTTCTAGATTAGCATTAATTCAGTGCTTTGGGATGCATTTGTTGCTTTAGCAGTTCAGAAACCTACTTATACAGATAGCTTTTTGATGTATAACTAAGAAAATTCAATGCTTTCAATGTTATTTTTTAATCCTATCTTGTGGCTGACAAAATCTTTAGGGTGTTTATGGCTCAGTAAAAGCTGTTGTATAAGTAGATAGATTATAAGATTTCCCCATGAAAATTTATTTATCCTCTGTTTTGCTCTGAGGCAGGAGTGGTGGAGCACAATGTGGAGCAAAACGTCTCATTTTACTTCCTGTCAAAGAGCATCCATGGATTTGCAGTTAGATCCCTCTCTGAAAATTTCTACTGCATGATTTTAATGTGATAAATTATTGATTTTCATATACAGGGACTTTGTGAAACTCGTGCTTTGGGATCTGCTCTAATGATAAGCAGGAAATAGGTTAGCCAGAAATGTAAAGGTGAATAAAAATTGGGGGAGAGAATATTTTGCAATTGCTTTTAACAAAACTAGCAACTTCTCTTTTTACGTTATAAGAGAAATTTAATAAGTGCTATTTCAGAGAGGTGAGCAGAGCTTCTGCTCTTGGCATGAAACAGTAACCCAGACTGCAGAAATGGCCAGAAAGTGTCACCCACTAATGATTAGCAGCAATAAGGTTGTTTCTAGGGCAACTTTGTGCTTCCTGCCAATTCCTTTTGGATTTGGAAAGTGCCAGGAAATTAGAGAAGTGATACTCATTGGAGGCTGGATCGAAACCCCACTGAAGTCAACAGAAGTGGTTCCATTCACCAAAGCAGCCTGGGACAGACACCCCACCATGGTGACCTGTGTCATAATTTACTGAGACACTTATGGAGTGTGTGGGTAGCAGACTTACTTCACAACCAAGAGCTGGGAACTGCAATGGGGGAGACTCTGGATGTTTAGTTTACACAGAATTGTATTTGCTGATGTCTTTTCTTCTTCTTCTGTCCTTTGTTTCATGCACAGGACTCTGGAATTGATATTGGTGATATTTCTGAGAGGAAGGCCCTAAGGAAAAAGCTCCAGTGCAAGACCTTTAGGTGGTACCTCGTCAGTGTGTATCCAGAAATGAGAATGTATTCAGACACTGTCGCCTATGGGGTGGTAAGGAGCTTGTTTACATTTCCCATTCTAAAAAGGTGTAATAGTGGAAGTAATTCATGGAGGAAGTGCCTGGCTCTAAGTAGAAGAATCAGATAAACTTCAAGTCACCAGTTAAATAATTTGTTACTGGTTAGTTGTCTGAGACAGCTGCCCTGCTGTCATTCATGCTGAGGTATTCTGGATGTTATCTTCCTCCCTGATGTTTTGTTTGCTGGGTTCGTGGTTAGAATTCCACACAGAAATACTCAACGTGTGACTTTTTTAGACACATTGGAGTTGACAGGTGGAATGTTTGTGACAACCGGTGAATTCATAAAATAAACTCAGTATTTCAACTGCAACCATCTTAAGATTGTAGCCAGACCTTAATTTAGGATCACAGAGTCATTTAGAATACGAAAAACCTTAAGATAATCAAATCCAACTGTTAAAGGTGGATGCCTTCCCTTATTAAACTTTCAGCCATTTATCAGCAATCCTGGTCCACCGAAGAACAGATCACAGCAGACACTTGCTAGAATAAGGTATCAAAGATTGACATTCCAAACTAACCAAATCTCACATAGCTAACCCCTGTGTAAAACACCACTAGAGAGGTTCTGTTATTACACTGGATTCAGCAGAGACTGCAGCTACATCCGTGCATTTTGGGGTCATCATCACTTGTGTGACAGTAGTGCCCTTGTCTGTGTTGAAATCACACTGGAGTTGTACTGTGCTAATTAAAGCAAAAAAGGCAATTCTTGCTCCTCAAAAACTGGCAGTCCAATCAGAGTGGTGTGCATGACATGGAAGATGAGCACAGTAAATTAGTACAGGCGCACAATAAGGTTCTAGGCCTTGGACACCTTTTTCACATTCTCATCCAGTGTTATATTTAAAAAAAAAAAAAATGATTCCTGTGAATTAAATTTGCCTTTTTGCATGCAAGTCCCGTTTAGGAAATGTGACTAATAAGAGCAGACCTTACAAGTGAAAGGTTTGGCTTGAGATATTTCTCAAGAAGAAGTCTGAGCTGTGCAGTTTTTTGCCAGGATGTCTCTGCAAGAGTCTTGAGGGTGCCGTAGAGCAGCTGTTGTGGTTGTGGCAAATGATGGGATTGCACATCCTACAAAGTTCCATGACCCCATGTGATGATCAACTAAAAAATTAGTGCTGGCTTTTTGTACAATCAAATAAGGGAAGAAAAGCACTTCCAACAAAGGTTTGGGTTGTTGCTAAATGCGTGAGATAACGATTACCTTCCAAAGTAGTTCAGAACAATGCCAAAATCACACCTGTGTGCAAGGAGCCTCTTCCATAAGACTGTGGAACTGCACTCAGCAATGCCATGATCTAATCAGGTGTGGACTTTCCTGAGGAGAAGGAGGCATAGCAGCTAACTAATGCATGGTTCTGCTTGTAGGTAGCTCTGACTAAAAAATCTTTGATTACAGGTGCAAACGATACAATATAAAGAAAGGAAGTCCAGTGGAGAGCAAAGGTATTTGTCTCAGGGTTAAGTCCACATTGTGCAAGTCAAAATGAAAATCAGCAACAGGCATCCTACGATTTTATATTCTGCTGAGAGTTTTTCATCAGCTTTTGGGCAATACACAAACCAAAAAGAATTAAGAAGAGTTTTTTACAGAAATCCTGAACTCAGTGGTCAGCCTGGAGAAGTGGTCAGCCTTCAGGGAGACCTTGAGGTGTCTTCCAGTACCTACAGGGGCTACAAGAAAGCTGGAGAGGGACTTTTCACAAGGGGCATGTAGTGATAGAAAAAGGGGGAATGGCCTTAAGCTGAGGGAGGGCAGGTTTAGATTAGATATTAGGAAGAAATTCTTTCCTATAGGAGTGGTGAGGCACTGGACCAGGTTGCCCAGAGAAACTATCCACTTTCTCATCCCTGGAGGTGTTCAAGTCAGGCTTCATGGGCTTTGAGTAACCTGGTCTAGTGGAAGGTGTCCCTACTCGTGGCAGGGGTGTTGGAAGTAAACAATCTTTAACACCCCTTCCAACCCAAGCTATTCTATGATTCTATGATTTAGGGACTGCACAGTAATGCACATGATGCAGTTTGTAGTCTGCAATATGTGAGTAGCTTCTTCAGCTAAGAGAGATGTGAGGAGCAGACCTTATTTGTTCTATCACAAAGGAAGTAGTGGACAACTATGGCAACAGGCAAAGGGGGAGTGTTTTATGAAATACACAGCTTACTGATTTATGAAATCCTGTTGTATAACACTAAAAGATAAAGTGCCCCAGTCTTTTTAGTAAAAGAATTGCTTGGATATCTAATCTTCTTTCATGTGTGCTTTCCTGTTTGCTTGCCTGTTTTACAGTGGAGAAAGGTGTGATGTTTCAAAGCATGGCATCTGCTTTCTTTAAGTGCTTTCATTCATCAACTGCCTTCATTTATTATATAAAATATAGATATTGCTACTATAACAGTATCATCAATTTAAAAAAATACTGAGTCATTTAACAAGATATCTAAGTAGGGGTGAAGGTTAGGATATAGGCACCCACACAGTCACCCCACACGTTTACTTCCTGAATCCAAAATTTCCTCCTGTTCTGTGGGAGTTCAGAAAATAGTTGTATAATTCATGTCTACTTTATACTGTGGCATATAGTTTCGGGTTAGGATTGGTGGCCGAGTAAAGGTTTTTGAAGCAAATTTTCTTTCTGAATTCTTCAGTACTGTTGAAATTAGGAGAAAGTGCTGCCAGTGGGCTAAAAGCTGATGTATTCAGTGGCTCCCCAATTGCAATCTGTTGTTCAAGGTAATTTTGCAAATTGAAAATTTCAGTAGTCTACTTTATGTTTGTATGCTGTAAGTCTCTAAGTTTGAGAGGGAGCAAATGACAGTATTGACTAATTATTTCTGGGTTTCAACACGGGGATTGACAACCTGGTTATATTTTGGGTTGGATTCGAGGTTAAGTCTTGGTAGGCTAAAACTGCATTTATGGGTTAATTGCTGGATGCCACAAAGCCACTAGATTTTGGAAAGGGATGGTTCTTAAGAATCTGGGCCTCAGAGCTAGAAACAACAGTATTAGTTAACAGGTCGGTGGCTTTTTTTTGTTTCTGTTTTCTGTAGGGATCTTTTCTCTTTAGATATTCTAAGTCAATTGTAGAGTTTCAACTGGGATAAGAGGTTGAAATATTAAATCTGAAGAACTCATTGTAGTTTTTCGTTTTCAAGGTTCATCAGAGGATTGGTGTCCAAAGGAATATGGTGTCCTGTCTCTTTTTCTGTAGTACCTGATCACCAGACAGCTGCTGATAGGTTAAGGTCATGCTTCTTTTCAAAGCGTGGGACTCTAAAGTCTCTGTGTCTGGCTCAGCCCTCTCAGCTAAGTCACATGCTAATGGTTGGTCAAGGCAGATTTTTTTTGCTTCCTTTATTATTGGGATTGTTGTGGAAAAGATAATATTAGGTCTAGGACAAGCATTAGAACTGGAGTTTGTGGAAGAGGTTTTGAAAACACAAAGGTAGGGATGGATCCAGGCACGAATTAATAAGGCTGATATTTATCATCGCTTTGGATAGAGAGTGGTGCTTAGACTTCTGACTATGATTAGAATCATGGTTATGGTTGCATTTATTGATGAGAACTAGGAAGCCTAGAGAGAGGAGACCTTGTTTGACTCTCAAGGCTTTAATTCTTGAGAATAATCCAGTACTGATACCTAATGCATATTTTCTCTTTAATGTTGAGATCTGTCCTGTCCATTATTGAATTTAGAATTTGATTTGGAGTTGGAAGTCTTGTAGAGATGAATTGGTGGGTTTGATTTTTATTCACTGTCTGGCTTCAGTTTCTGGCTTGTCCACACTTCTTACATGCTAGAGCACTTCTAGACTTCCTTTCTAAGCATATGAATTTGTTGTCCTCAAAGGAAAACAGCTGACAGGACTGCTCGATTAATCACAGATGGTTGCAAAACACATCACCTCTTCACTCTCTTCATCACGCAGCCCTCTCCTCTGAACTGATCTTATACCACTGAACACCGTTTTACATGTCCGTGGGTATGCAATCCACATCTTTGGCCACACACTTTAAAAAGACCTTCCAGCTATCTGTGCTCATTAATTTAGCCCTTCCCTTTCAGAAAACTCTGCCTCAGCAACGCACAGGTAATAATATACAGGGCTTTGTGATGACCAGGGCCAAGTACTTTGCAGTCTGTTCACTGCTGTGTGTGGGTTAGCCTGGAATAATGCAAAGGGGAGCTAATGCATAACAATTGGCCAGAAGTCTCCAGGTGTCAGCAGAAAGGATTTTTTTGAGTTACTTCCAGAAATCAGAAGGCTCTCCTGAGGGATTCTGAAAAGCTGTTTAATACCTCATCTATACTGCTCAGCTAGTCACACTGCTAAAGCATTCAGGGTCTGTATATAGTGTGTACCAGAGGCTCATCAGACTTAATGTTTTTAAAACATATATCAAAAAAATTATTGCTAACTCTGAGGGCTTTCTGAAATCTACCCTGCCTGAAACTTTGTGCAACACTATGGAAATCAGTAGTGTTAGATTATCTGCAAGGGAGAATTTAGTCCAGGTGCTTTCTCTTTAAAATCTTCACTGCATCATATTTTTAATTCTGTATATTTTCTTGCTCAACTACATACGTTAGGGTTTTTTTAAAAAAAGTAATCACACCACCTTTTTTCTCATGTAAAACTTGCTTGATTTCTTTTTCTTTCTGTTTATTTTAGCTGCAGAATTCCCTGAAAAGTGATTTGTGCCTTGATCAAGGTCCAGACACAGAGAATATCCCAATCATGTATATCTGCCATGGAATGACACCACAGGTTAGTTTGTCTGATGATCTCTGATATTGCTGCTGCTCTCTGCAGATTGTGTAGGAGGAACCATCTTGTACCTGTCATTGTTTTCCTGCAACAATACCTCGGTAAGCTGTTTGATAGCTCTTTTATAGAAAGATAGAACATTATTTCTGCTGTAAATTGAGAACCCCTTGTATGCTTTGACAAGGAAGTTTATTAATTTTGAAAGAATTTAAGGAATATGAGAGTAAGAACTTTCCCAGGTTTGTTGATAAAAGCTTTCATTTCTCATCTTTAACTGTGCATGTCATATGAATTAAACAGTGCATTTTAAGACATTTTACATTCATATATAGGTACACTCACAGTTTATTTATATATTATCTGAAGCAACATCTTTTTTTTACCTCATATATTTACTGTCTTATTTCCACAAATCTGAAATGTACAGACACCCTCTTCACACCATACAGCTGTGTCAAATTCCAGACCCTGTCCTTGTGAAAACCCCTCTTCCAAAGCTTTTTTTTTCTTTCTCTGCTGTTGTCCTGTTACTCTAGTATGTACCAAAGACTCGAATTACCAAAACCTTTCTATTTTCTTACACAACAGCTGGATTTGTTAACTTGGCAAACATTGTCTTCCCAAATAAGTGAGTGTTTCTAGGCAAGTCTTGACAGGAAAAATAACTTCACATGGCCTACAACATACTTGTCAGACAGATGTGCAGATTTTTTAACTTTGAAAGTAACATATGCAAAAATGACATAAAGGAAATAGACATGCTTGTGGGAGTGGTTGGAGAAACTGAAAAATTCCTCCAGTTTCAATTATTTTTTTTAATCTGACTACCTTTTATATTGGCTTTCTCAAAAGGACCCTTTTATGCCTCACCTTATGAGGTTATGGAATGTGGTTTTACCCTGGAATTGTCAGTTAAGAGTTTGACTTTACAGCAAATGGATCCTTGTAATATCTCAGAAACAAACACAGAGCAACAGGATAGTGTTCTCCCCTATACCAGGGTCTGACAGTGAGCTGGAAACGTGAGTTTGGTGAGCTGCAGATATGATTCAGTGCTTCCTTGCCAGGTTACACACACTGCAACTGTGTTCTGTGCTGGCTTTCTTGGCAGAGGGCCTTTAATATTGATTACTAGTGGCATCACGCTCTAGTAAATTATGAATGATGAAGGCAGAAATATCTGAGAATCCCATCCATCAGAGTTGTTCACTGCGTGGGCTGTGGCTTATTTGTCACATAATTATGTGGGAACCACTGTTTGCCTCCAGGAGGTTTTGAAGATAGTCCTCAGCGTTTGTGAAGGAACTGTGCAATTCACCCGTGAGCCAGAGACATTATTTTTCATCCTCTGGGAGGACACCGTGACTCTCGTGGCATATCATCTGTGAGAACAACACACTGCAGGCATGGTTGTAAATTCCAATTAGAAATTTTAATTAGAGTTGAGAGACAAACAACAACAACAAAAAAGTCCCTTCAATTAGCACAGTTCGGTATTCACCAGATAAAGAACTACCTTTGAACGTCATCTCAAGCTCTGTACAAATGAGATAGCAGCAAATAAATGACAGGGGGAAAGGAGGCAAGGGAAACTTAAGGAGATCCTACTCTTTCCTAATCACAGTGTTATGTCTCCTCCCCATTACTATGTATTTAATTTTGTAACTAATGTTAAAAAAACACTCAAAATGGCCCAAATATGGGTAAAAGATCTCAGTAATAAGGGAGAACTTTTTAAAAGGGAATTAGAGTTTCCCTGTGTTAGGGATTATGGTATCAACAGGGATTCAGCATACTTCTATGAGATTTCCATTGCACATGTTGCACCTTTTGCTTAAGCAGAGCTGCAGCCATTTACTTTTTCTCTAGCATGTTGGAAATATTTGTATAAAAATTCCTTTTAATCTTAGTGAACTTGCCACAAATTATACTGGTGAGATGCTAATTTTATTCTAGTAGTGGTGAAATGCTATATGAAGGGGGATATTGTGCCCAGCTGGCAGACCTTATCAAAATAGATCAGTGCCCTGATGCAGGACTGCCTGTGCGAGTGTTCTGGTGATGCCTTTCTTAGCTCTGGTGCAGAGTTTTGCTGCTGTAGGTGTTCCATTTACGGTTTCATTGCTGCCACCATGGAGGACTTTGCACAGTTGCATCTAGATGTGCAGTAATATATCTGGCTGTCAGGAACTATTCCCTCATGAAGTTGCTGTTCTTGGTTACTGCTATAACCCCTCTTCCAAAGTAGGTAACTTCCTTTTATTTTTCCCCAATAAACTCTTTCAGATGTTTTTGGATTTTCAGCTTTTTGCATAGGAAATGGCTTAGATGAGGTGTTTGACATCAAGGAATAGTTTTAGAATTGTAGGCACAGCTACTGTTTCCTTTTAATGTGTATTACATGGGGGAGAAATCATTGAACAGAAAGGGAATGGAGTACCTGACATAAAAATTCCATGCTCCATTTTTTTCAGACAGTATCAAAAACATCATGTGTAGCTTCATAATTAAAAGCAGTAGAAAATGGCAAGGAAGTATCCTCAAATATTGCAATTAAATGATCAGAAATAATTTTCCCTGTGGTGTTTCAGTTTAATTTTAAATAAAATCAGAGTTAGTGATGGTAAGAATTCTGTGACTTAGATTTCCCAACCTTTTGGTAATCCACTCCATATGTCTACTGTAACTAACACTGGCATATTCATGGTTCATTCCTTCAATGCTTTATCTTGGAGTGCTTTGTAACTGTGTTTGTTTTGTACTTCCATTCTGCAAAGAGAGGAACTGATGCAAATCTTACCTAAGGTTAAATAGTAGGATGGAATGGAAAGTCAGAACATAATCTATCCATTTCCTTAGTCCTCTTACACTACTAATGAGAAAGAATTTGTCCCAGCAGGGTATTTGGCTTGGCCTGAAAAGAAAGAGGGCACTTGAAAAAAACAGAATCTGTGATTAGGCATGTTTTCTACCCTCCTTCTGTCTTCAGAGGGTGCTTTCCAGGGTAGCTGTATTTTGTCCTGGTCCCCAGGAGTCTGAACACTTCAGGAGTTATGATACCATCCACTGTAGATCCCTGTGTTCAACCAGTGGAAAAAACAAAATGAGTGATGATCCTGCAATGCGTTCACATGAATTTAGGGAAGATTTGCTATTCCCTTATCTTTAGTAGGAATGATTTCATTACAAAACGTTGCCCAGATAATTATAGATTCTGCTGAGGGCTTCCTTGTCTAAGTGGTAGCATCTGAACAGCATAACTGTTAAGTTGCTCATCCTCCCCTGATTCTGCTGCCCCAGGGTTTTGCTCCCTAAGCCTCACATCCTTCCATTTCTGCCTTGAGTCACTCTCTGCCCAAAACAGAATTGTCATTACTGCTCCCATCTGCACAGCAAGATACAGTGGTATGGCATGTGGCATCACTCCCCAGACTCATCAGCAAGAACACAGCCATCACACCTGAGCATCTGTTATTGCTTCTTGCAGCCACCAAGTAGTGGGCAGCTTTTATATGTGCGTGAACCAAGGCTATAAAGTGGTTTTGGTACCTTTAGTGTGTTGATGGTCATCCATTTGTAAGGAGCTTTTAGTGTCTGTGTTAGCCTGTCATATCAAAGCTCTCCTGCTGTGCAATGCTGCTTCTGCTTAGCACAGCTGAGCAAAACTGGCTTCTGCAACTCTTGAAACAGCTAATGTAGTAAATGCAACATGGTAAAATAGTTAACAAAAGAAGGCCAAACAGGTTCCTACTACACTGTTTAGTGGTGGTAAAACCACGTTGCTTTAATTACAGGGGCACAGGTCAGAGGCAAAGCACAGCTGCCCCCCATCAGTGTGATGACAGAGGGAATTAGAAAAGCTGGGAGATGAGGTGGACTTGGCACTAAGGGAGAGAGTGAGAGGAGATGAATGTAAAGAAAAGAAGGGAAGGCAGAGGAGTAGTAGTGGCAAAACAGCACATAAAACAAAGTTCATGTGGGGTTGGGGGGATTTTGCTGTTTGTTTTTTCAAAGCAGTTCATGCAGAAAAGGATAAAGGTACTGTTTGAATTCTTCACCATGTTGCAATAAGGCCACAACTCAGTCATACGTTTAGGCCTTAGAAGATCTATTTCCAGCAGCACCCCTATTTTGCATGGAGAAGATGATTTGCTTGTACTTGCAGTAAGTACGGGTCTGACTGCATTCTCCTCCCAGTTCTGGGAACTTCCTGAGCATGGATGTTTGTTGTTAAGGCTGCTGTTTAACCAGGCCTGTAATCTTGAAGGCAGACTGTAGACAGTGTCACTTGCGTTAAAACTACTCCTGAGTGATAATTGAGATTTTTTGGTGAGAATGAAACACCACATTATTAGAGACTTTATTATATGACAAACGAATACCATCAATCAATGAAGTGATATTTTAAGTACAGACTTACCTTGAAAAGTGCATGTGATTGAGGGGATAATGGGCAGTTTTGTTCTCTTGTTCAATAGCTTCTGGCTCATATAACTCTCAATTTATAAGCAGTTAAACCCCAAAGTTCAGTCAGTGATATAGAAGTCAATACAAACCAGTCAGATTTTTAGGAATTCAAGTTGAGGACCAGGGTCAGAAGACTAGATTGGGAGAATCACTAGGAGAGAAATGCAGGTGAGAAGGGACATCCATTTATATCATTTATATGGTATCATTTCACAAGAGATTGCAGAACTGACACTTGGACACCTGTGACTGCAGCCCTGTCTGGTACAAATTATTGCATCTCCACTGAAGACAGTGAAAGGAAGTCATGCCAACACACAGAGATGTGCCAGTTCACACTGTACAAGACTCTGACCTGAAAAAATGATGTTGTGTTCAAAGCATGGTGTGGGAAGTACTTGAAACAGCTGTTACAAAAACTCCCAGTAACTTCTAACCTTCTAAAAACTATTTGTGCAATTCATGGCTGCTCCTTTTAAAATGCTTTCCATATATATTTTTATAAAAGCTGTATTTTCTTCAGTCAAACCTCT